TTCCCTCCTGACGGAGTGGACAGAACTTGTCAAGGCTTATCTCCGCGACCTGGCTTATGTGGGGCATGCCACAAACGCCGAACGGGCTCTCAAGGCCACTGAGCCGTTTGATGTCTGTCACAGAGCGCATGTGCTATCCCAGGAAACCCTGGGCTACCACGAATTAATGCCAGCTGCCACGGCGTTGCTAGACTCGGTGTATACTCCAGCCCTTCGCAGAATCGAGCATCAAGAGCAACCAAGCTCGTATTTTATTATCGGAGGAGATAGCTCTCTCGCCTTGGTGACCCGCGGCGACGGTGGACGCGTTCTGATGAAAGGGACGATGGAACCGTCACTCCGGGAGGAGATGACCAAGGACCTCCGCATGGATGGATGCTCGGTCGTCATGCGCTGGGGAAAAGGACTTGGAGACATCGTGTGGCACGTGGAACAAGAGCTCAACTGAGTCCAGAAGTGGAAGAACGGCCAGGAACCGCTCGCACCGGAAGGTGTCGACATTATCATTCAGTGGGGTGGTAATGACGTCTATGGCGAGTACGGTTACAAAGGCTTTTCCTTCCACATGCGCAATGCGTGGGTTCGTGTTGATGATGCATTGCATGACACCCTTTCCAATTGGGAGACCAAGGCACGCAAGGCCGTCGAAGACGCGAAAGATGCCCTGGTTCGTCTCTCATCCCGGAAGGGAGTGTCCTCTGTCACGCTGGTGGCTGGCCCCCACAATGGGGAATTCTATGGTCTCCCGGAGGTCTATGACCTGGAGATGGCACGCCATTCCGACGAGGTAAAAGAGCGAGGGATCCGCATTGTCGATCCCCAGGCCCACATCCTTGCAACAGAGCGCTACGATGGGTTTCACATGGAGGCTACCCACGACAACGTGAAGGTTACCACCAGCTGGTTCTTTCACCTTTGCTCTGCAATCATGTTCGAGCGGTGGCTTGTGAAGCACGCAATGGAACTTAAGGCCAATTCGCGTGGCATCCTCTTCCACAACCACTTTCACCTCGGACTCGGCTTGGAAGAGCTCGACATCCCTCCTACCACGGACTTGCTCATTCCGGCGGAAGCTGAGATGGTGACTTTCCCACCTGAGGCACCGCCCGTGCAACGTTTCCCAGAGGAGGAGATTGTCTTGAACCAGCCGATCCTCAGCTTGGAAAAGCTTGACGAGCTTGAGGGTGTACCGCCCACTGACTATGTCAATGAAGTAACGAAAGAGTCAGAGGAGCTCACGGTTGAAGACATGGTGTCTCGTAACCCGAATCCGGAGGACGAGCGCCTCACCGTGGAAGCGGTTGACCCCGGCTCGGAGATGGAACAAATCGTTCGGAAGATGATTGAGTCGGTGAACCTGGTGATGACGGACAAGGAGGCTGAAGAGGTCGCCCAGGAGACGGGTGTTGCTCCCTACGAGTATGTTGAGCCGAATGTCACAGCTACATCTGTCGTGGATGGTGAGGCAGTCTCTACGATTGCTACTTCCGATATCCCGACGGAGGTCTGGGACTCTGGTCCGATGGCTGTGGACTACGGCGCAGACGATGATGAGGAGCATCCCCGCGGAAGTGGTGGACCCATCTGGCTTACACCGGATCAGCTGCCTGATGTCAAGGGTCGCATGGGATACTTTCGCCTCAATGAGATGGAATGTGTTTCGTTGGACAAGAAGCTGTCGTGGCACTTGCGTGGGCATGCCAAGGACAAGGGATTCCGCACTGTTGAGTTCGATGAAGAGCAGTCTGCAGAGATTGGTGATGTCTTGAAGGTCATTGGGAAACAGTGGTCCCGCCTGACGGTGATGACCATCATTGACCTGTTGACGTCAGATCACTGTGACAAGGCACGGTTCGAACTCCAGGCGGAAGCCTTGGACGAGGAGACACGGTTGGGCCGGGGAACAAACTGGCACTTTACTCGTGTCCGAGCATTCCACGGACACAATGCCTGCTTGCTCGTCCTCGACAGCGACCCGCTGAAGACCACTGTCAAGCAGTGGGCCCTCGATGACAAATGGATCCCGTCCTATGTTGATCTACCGATCACGGGTCCATACCCTTATCGGGCAACGGCCTTCGATCTGATGCCAAAGCTGGCGTACCACGCCACATACTGGCGAAATTTCATGAAGATCGTCAACACAGGCCTCATCCCGGGAGGGAAAATGACTTCGAAGGGCAACAGCGGGAGGCCCTTCAACATGTTCGCGATGGAGCCTCAGTGGGAACGCACCTCCAATCAAGGCGTCCGCCCTGGCGCCCAGCTGGAATTTGTGATAGACTTACAGCTCGCCGCTTGCGATGGCTGTCGGTTTTTCGAGACAAAAGCTGGAGCGCTGCAGACGCCGGATTGGATCAGCAACCGGGCCATTCTGTATGCATATGACCGGTCGACTCAGGAGATGATCTGGGCGAACCGAGCATACGAACCAGCGCGGAAGCGCTTGGCCCAGGCGTGCAAAGACAAGAGCCTCAACACGCCCATTTATGGCGAGCGGGGTCACCAGGAGCTGGTCGATGCAAACGGCTATTGCTACAACTACCTCGTGGCAGGCCTTGGGTATCGCAACTTCGACACCTGGAAGGACGCCGCTAAGGCATGCAAGGATGTCTATGACCTTGATTTCTACCCAACAAGCATGTGTGGTCTAGACATTCGCATCCCGGAAGGGCATGCCTTGCAGGGCTCAGAGTCATTGTACAAAATGGTGGTTCACGTGGCTCCAAAGCAACCTCATCAAAAATGCAACGATGAGTCGGATTGGCGTCGCCAGGAGAATGTCAGCATTCCTTCTTTCGCTTGCCCGAGCTGCGGTACATCCAACGTTGATGGCGCAATCTGTTGTTATCGATGTGAGTCTCGATTGGAACCGCACTCAGATGTGAGCATGGCCTTGGAGAACACCCGTGCCAAGCAAGTTGCCGCCCGGAAGGGTGAGCCCCTGGATTACAGGGCATTGCAACCAAGCGGGGAGGTCAACTCCAATCGTGCCACGGGCAACAAGAGGGATCGGAGTGCTGGCTCTGGCCCAGCCGCTGTTCGCCAGCAGGCCGCCAAGTACCTCGGAAAGGCCTTGAAGGCGGGTTCTCGCACTGTTGTTGAGCGTCAGTCTCGTGATCCGTTCACGGCCTACAACAATGCAAGATTTGGCATATCCATTACGGGGCTTGAGCAACTCATGATTTTCGCCCGAATGAGGATCGCCAACCCGCCGAGGTCACGCCAGATGATCCATGACCGCACTGGCTTTGACGGCGCAGCCAAGGTGAGCTTCTCATTCCCACCGGAAGGTGAGGACCTGACACTTACGGACCACTGCTTTGTGGCGTTCGTGGACAGGTTCTACAAGCTTGATGAAGCCGCCTTGTTGGCGTTTGCCGTCCATCGCAACGGCTACGTCATGGACATCCTTGGCTTTAGCGGTCGCACATTGAAGCCGACCGGTCCAGTGGTACAGATCTTGGCTAGGATTGTGGGATTCTTCTAAGACGAGGTACGGTATGCAGTTGAGCGCGGCGAACAAGTGCCTGAGTTGGTTTTGCCTGCCAATCAGGAACTCCGCGTCCCGGAAGGGCTCACCTCTGTTGGGGATAGACAGCTGAACGAGCTTCTCATCAACACGAAGTTCGCGAGACAGCTTCCCGGCGCCAAGGGCGTCAATGAGAGGATCGGGTATGCCTTCAGAGAAGGGAGGACGGAGATGAGAGGCAGATCAGCTCAGCCACCGATTCCAAAGGCGAGGCCAACAACCAGAGCTACCGGCAGTGCACAGCGGTTCCTCCAAAGCCACGAGCACGCCCTCTTGACCCTTCCCCGGGAGTGGCAGCTACCCGCCTGCGGCCAACAGAGCCCAGCTATCCGCCACCCGGAAGGGATGTGCCAGGATCGTCAACGGATGCGCCGATGCGTCCGCCCGAGCCAAAGGGGCCTCCACCAACGATCTTGGTTGTCGATTCAAGGGGGAACCCTATTGACCCATCGCAGCCTCGCCGACCTTACTTCACCCGGCATGATGCGCTGCTTTGGGCTCGCCTCAAGGCGTCTCGGGACAAGAACGTTCCCAGAGGCATGGAAGATCGTGCAGTACCAGCATTTCATGATTTGAACGACTTCCACCTCCTGGCACCGGAGCACGTGGGCTACTTTCTCTCTGGCTGGAAAGAGACCCAAAACGGGATCCGCCTGTACTGACTGCCGCGTCTTGTGCAGTACAGTAGCAGCTAATTAGTATTTTCGGTTCGTTGTGTTGTCTTCTCCACCCTGACGGGTCGGACATGTAAGAGTAGTTTATCTGCTCCATGTCCATTGTTCTGCCTCCCTGACGGGACGGCCTATGTAAAGGGCCGGAACTGATGGGACATGGCACGTCAGGAGTGTTGAGATCTCTCTAAGAGCTTCGTTGCACCTAAGGTGTAAAATCAGCCTGCTTTTGCATTCGCAACGTGTTGGTAGCATACTGTACTTCTACTTTCGCCTCTCTTCGCTGCCCTAAGAGGCGCGGGGGGTGTTTTATTGCTCTTTGTACGTATGTCTACCGACCATTACTGTTGCATGGCTCAAGAAAAAGTGAGTGTACGATTCGTGCTGTCGTGCACTATCTATAAATGCCGGGGCACAAAGTCACCTGGTCGCTTAGACCTTTCGCGGCTTCGGCAGGCGGAGAAAGGGTGTTCAAAAAAAATCCCTAAACCCCCATGCAAAGCCCCTTTTAGGAACCCTAAGCCTTGATATAAGGCAAATTTACAACCTAAACCCCTTAGAGCGCTTAAAGCCCCCTTTTAGGAACTCTTAAACCCCCATCTAAAGCCCTTAAACTCCCTAAATCCCTCAAAGCCCTCCTTTAGGAACCCCAAAGCCCTCAAATCCCACCTAAAGCCCCTAAATCCTCCCCAAACCCCCCATCTAAAGCCCCCCCCCACCCACCCATCCCTTTTTTTTAGGATCTTAAGTCTAAAGCCCCCCCCCCCCACCCATCCCCACCCATCCCTTTTGTTTAGGAGGGCAACCTCGGAGCTCCGGTGCTCTTCGCGGCCCAGCCCGGGGCCTTGGAGCCGGCTGCCCGGGCGGAGCTCCTCGAGGCCTCCCGCCTCGCCTCTCGAAGCCCGGGGGGGCTTTTGGGGGGTGGTTTAGGGGGTTTAGGATTTATAGGGTTTAGGGGTCTAGGGTTTGCGGGTTTAGGGGGTTTAGGATTTATAGGGTTTAGGGGTTTTAGGGGTTCTAGGGTTTAGGGTTTAGGTTTTAGGGGAAGGCTCTGCCTCAGGTGCTGCCCTTGCCGGCATACAATCTCAGTCCGTGCTCAAAAAAGGTTTTAGGGGGTTCCCTGAGCAGCTCCGTTGAGGGTCCCTTAAGGGAAGCCCGGAAAGGAAGCTCCAGCAAACCCCGAAACCGTCAGCCCATCCCTGAAAGATCCTCAGCCCTACACTCCGAATTTCTAGATGCGGGTATTCCCAGAGAGTCTTCAAATACACCTTGAAAGGAAGCCCCTTCCCTTACGGCTCCTTCAAAGGGTTCCTTTAATTGACTAAGAGTTCCTTCAAGGGCTTTCCCGAAGGGTCATGGGTTGCTAGCTAGCCTTTAGGATTTATGGCTGTCTGTTTTGGGGGGCTGAGTCATGGGAACATCTTACATGCTTACATGGTTCTGGGATTAAGAGTACCATCACGAAACGGGGTGTTTCCAGAGGCTTTGAAAGGGTTTAAGGCTCTCGAGGGTCTCTAGTGTTTCAGGTTTCGGGTTTGGGATGCCCCGAAACTCCAAGTCGGTAACCTCAAGTTCTGTTGCAATCCCAGGATCCGCCCAAAGGATCGTAAGGTTGTTTGGTGCCCTCAAACTACTTCGAGTTTTGAAGCCCCCAAGAGCTAGCAGGATTCTCTCTAGGCTGTCAGGATCCCGAAGGTAGGGCTAGTAAGGCTTGCCTGCCCACCACAACTGCCAGCTTTGAAATTATCTATAACTAGCTCTGCGCAAGATTGACTCTACTTAGGAGGCGGCAGGGTCCAGGCACACTTCGAGTTGCAGCTAACCCACCAGGCTCGGAAGGAACTTACCGAAGCCCGAAACTGGCCCGAAAAGGCTGAGGCCGCACGAGCATAACACGACTGTTGTCCATTTAAATGCGGCGCAACACCTGAAGTCGCCCAACAGGCCCTATAGAACCCGAAAGCCTCCAATGGTGACTCGCAGAGCCCTCGGCCTGACTCTCTCAGCTTCTTGTCAGAAGCAGGCCATTGACCGGCGACTAAGTCGCGAGGGCGACGCGCACGCAAAGGGGGAAGACTGACTTTCGGTCCGGTCATAGGAGGATTTAGAACTCTCGCGACTTGGGTTAAGGTTTAGGCAGCTTCATATGAGCTCATATCGTGACTGATTCGCGGGCGTTTGGGCGTAGCGCTTCTTTCGGATAAAGCGGTTCCGTGGGGAAGCCTCAGCCCGCCCATTCCTGTTAGGACTTCGGCTGGGGTTGAGGTAGAGGACCGATTTTAGAGGCATAACCTTTGCACCCACTCTATGACAAAGAGATCGGAGGTATCATCAGGTCTCAGTCGGACTGTGTTTGAGTGGGTAGTTAGGATTCAAGTTAGCATAACTAGCTCGCGGTTACGGCCCCCCCCAACGAAACTTCATCACAAGAATCCCGTCTAGAATCCAGAAAAGTCTTCGGACCTCTGTTACCAACTTGCATGAGTCCATACCCCTTATCTCTTCTTTTCCGGGCCGCTTTGCCTCCAGCCCAAGGTTTATATGCGGTAGCAAGTGTTTCGATTGTTTGTTTGTTTGCAAGCTTGAGCTTTGCCTGAAGAATTCTCGACGAGAATGCGCGGTTTAGGGTTTAGGTTTTTAGCTGGGCGTTTCAAACTGTTCTCGTGACTTTCTCTCGAACCATATCGTCTTGATAGAAGGTCGGCCAACGTCCATGAGAGCTCAAACCCCTGAAGATTCTCAACTTGCTGGATGCAAACACAACCGTGGACTTGATCCGATGTTGTGCTTTGTCGTAAACCCAGACGCTAAACCCTAATCGTAAACAGCTCAACCGCGAGTGTCGGGGTCTTAATAATTACCTATACTATTTTGGGGTTCCTCCTGAAACGTATAGATTAATTAATGGGCCCGTAAACCCCGTTGTAACTATTAAGGCCCCTGCTATAGCCGTTGCGGAAGCCGACCGCTGCTCAGGCGATTTGGACCTCGTCCGCCGCTACGTGGCAGAGGGGAAGGGTGTCGAGAAGTCAAAGGCCTGCCATCGGAATGTTGTGCTTATCTAGAGGCTCCATAGTAGATCCTTTTGGGGGTTCATATTTAGAGTCAAATAAGGTAATCCCAAAACGGAATAAGGTATTGGTTGTAGGGGTTTAGGTTTAGGTTGGCAGAGTTTGGGTTCAAAAAAGGGCTTTGGGGTCCGGTATTGAGGATGACAGCACCGCCCTAATGATTGAGCCCCCCCAACCGACCCCATCCCCGGAAGTTTGGCTTAGTAAAGGGCTGGGAATAAGTAGTAATTCACTATATCTGAAAAGGGCTCCATATAGTAGAACATGCCTCATGGCCAAGTTCGACTGACCAAGGCTTGTAGATGACAACCCTTACTAGAGCCCAAGTCGCGAAGAGGCGCTGGCAAGGCGTTTCGTCGATTTGGCATCGCTTGAGTTGGATGCGCTGGGCCCTCAGAGCTGAGGCGCCAAGCAGTTTTGGCTCGATATACATATATATATATATATATATCTATCTATCTATCTACATAGAATATACATATATATATATATATACACTCATAGTATCTCTCCATGTATAGTTCCCTCACAGCTATGCGTACAGCACACCAAGCCCTCTTCGTATTATTTAGCCCCTTAAGGGTCCCTAGAGTATACATGGGGCTTCCTCAAACAGATGTTGGGATCCTCGCATTGGGAAGCGTCCAGACACGACAGGTCCATAGAAGAAGGGGCAGAATGGCGAAGCCTTTTATGTAGCACTGTCTTTGTATTGTTGTTTATACAGGTTGATATTGTTATTGTAAACCATGGCTTTTACACAAAAAACAACACAGAAGATTGCAATGTTCTCTCGGAGGCTGTAACTAAGAGGGCATTCGAGGTCTGGGCTTCGGAGGTGAAGGGCTGAAGCCCTACCTCGAAGAGCCACGGTACCTTAACAAAACGTAGTTTAGGGTGATGTCCACTGTTTTTTAAAGGTTTATATGGATGGCTTATGTGGCAGCATATGGCATTTTGCAGGGCTGCTCACTCCGTGCAGGAACTCAGAGACAAGTCATACTTGTGTGGCAGAGGTTGGTCGTGTGGCTTGTGTCAGCTTTAAAGTTTTAACTGCTCAGCATCGGCGCATGGACACAATGCCCACCGACTTATCATAAGTAAATCCGAACTTCACTAGATCCACAGTAATGAGGCCTTTGTTGAGAAAGCAAGTTAATCTTTGTTGTTTTCAGGTTACGGTTGCCCTGCATTTCAGCTGGAGCCCTGGGGAAAAGTCTTTCTTGGGAGGGATGGTCGCACGATTGCAAACCATTATACTGATTCTTGCTCGCGCTTTACCGTATACGGCGTGGCCTGCATCTTACGTATACGCAAGCGAAAAACCTTTTCAACGCCACCTCCAAAAAGCAAAATGTAGCAGTGTTTCAGACCGGGAGGCCATTCTGGTCTTGTTATTCACCAAACTGCAAAAGCCATCCACCAAAGCATCTTAAAGGGATTATCCTTCAGTGACTTCCACTGAACTACACTCTAAACCCTCCTTTGGCGAAAAAGGCTGAGACACACCTTCGGTTGTACACTACCGAAAATGGGCTTGCTGCTCATCGTTTCTGAATGTGTCTCTTTTGTTTCATGCTTGTTTGGACGGAAGCCCTTGGACGAATGACATCCGCACAAGGATTTGTTTTCTCCGCTGTTGTTCGCTTTCTCGGTTGCCGATCTCATAGTTTGTCTGCTGAGCGATGGTTCAAAATCTTCGTAGTTGAAGAAGGTCGTGGGTTCGTGTTTGGTGTGCTAAACATGGGGCTGTCCCCTAGATTCAGATGCGTGGCAGTATCAAATCCCCTACAAGCCTATTCCTAAAACCCCCCAAACCCTGAAGTTTTACTGTAAGCCTGCAGACCCAAGACCACGACGCGTAGACATATACACACTAAAACCCTGCATCGTAGGCTCGTCCTAGCTAGGCGGGAGGCAAAACAAACCCGTCAAAGCTTGAACTCCCAGACAAACAAGCCCTCACCTCGGCACCCCAAAAACCCTGCACCCCTAAATCCTAAACTCCCCTTTTCAAACGCGCCGGAGAAAGGCTAGAGCCTGGTGAGGCACGGGAAGGACTGAGGCTCTTTGCCGAATTCGTGGTCGTTCGCTCCTACTGAAGCGCGGCCCGCGCGATCCTGTCGGCATCGCTGGCCCAAAGCAAGCCTATGGTTTAGGAGTTTTAGGGTTGAGCGACTGAGTGCCCTGGAGAGAGAGAGAGAGAGAGAGAGAGAGAGAGAGAGAGAGAGAGAGAGTATGGGGTTTCAACACCTGAGCCCCATTCTCAGTGTGATTAAAACTATAACTCAAGGCAAGCCCATTTCGGGGTGTAGGGTTTAGAAGTTTAGGGTTTCAAGACCTGAGCCCCAACACAGGCCCACTTACTACTGTTGCGCAAGCCCCATAGCCAGCGCAGGGCTCGACCCCAAGATTCAAGCTCCGACCCGTAACAGGAAATGTTTTCGTGATTAATAAGTATCATCATTACCACTAATGGGTGATTGTATTACTCGGTTTATTATTTCTGTTATTGTTCTTTTGCAACTATCTGTTAGAATGGTTAGTACGAGTATACAATTGCTTGCATCAATTGGCATCATTGGTCATTGCTGTCATGGTTATCGTCATATTACCAATCTTCTGATTATTTGTATTCTTATTCTGATGAGGTTAAAATGCCAGGTTATTTCCATTTCTGTGCATATGTTCGATGCCACAGTCAAGATTCTTGCTGCTGCTGATGTGCTTCCTGTTATAAGAGGTTAGAAGCCGTCATAAGCATGTGTTGAAGATGAGCTGTAGCACGGCCGGTGCTTCGGATGGATGTCCACAGCCTAGAGCCTGTCGGATACAGGAGCTTCATGAACCGAGAGTTCCAAAGAACTTCTCACATCGATTCATTTTCGGCAACTGTCCAAATGCGGCAAGTTCCCCTCAGAAGCACGACAGCACCCTTAGTCCCAAACCTGGAGAAGAAAGGTACACATGCAAGTGTGGGTCGCACCCGTAGCCCACACACTGCCTACTCAGCATCGGGTTGGTTGAGGTGTTACATCGGTTTCAAATCTTGTCAGTGATAAGGCTTCGGGTAGTGTAGCGGTCTGAACGAAACTAGACCAGGGTTTGGGCAGCTGCAGGCCAGGAGGACAAGAGCTAACCTGCGGAAGCAACCCACAAACTATTCAAGCCGCCACGTTAGTCTCCGATCCCCGAATTTAGATTTTCGAACAGGGGATCCCAACACAACTCTATGTACCAAGACCTGCTAAGATCAGTATTGAAAGAACTCCTACATGTCGAAGCCGGCCCAAAATAAAACAGCCAACTAGGCCAAGAACCCGGACTCCCCAGAACCCAACCCTGCACGGTGCGCCGCGGCGCCCTGGCACGATTCTCGTGATGCATGGCCGCGGGCGCGCCGTCAGGGCTAAATGTTTTAATTCTACCGGTATAGATCTTCGAGATGCTCGGGACGTCGTCACGAAGTTGAACTCCTAATAGTCTGCATGATTGGGTTCTGCCTCGTAAAGCTCACGGGACAAACATCCGCCGCAAGTAAACCCTAAACCCTAAACTTTTGAGGCAGTGAGCGCTTAAACCTTTCAAAGCATTGAAGGGCTTGGAGTCTCAATCGTCGTGGCGTGTCCACGCATCTCCCGAATTCTTCTGACGGCCAGCCCTGTGACGAAAATCTCTCCCAGTGCTCGGGTCTACTGCACTTGCACTGTATTGTAAGGTTTTTCCTTTGAGGGCACCCAACCCTAAGCCTTTCTGACGGGCCCCTATAGAAGGGCCTTCGGGCGTAGCAGGTTTCGGTTGCATGGCTGGTGCCTTAACATTCCAAGACCCTTAACTTAAGACCCTCAAGCTTCAACCAGAAATACCTCAAACCCAGTGTCCTCCTTCAGGGTTCATAGAGCCCTTCTCCTAATCGTAGATCCCCTATAGTATCCCCTACAGAAACAAAGAAACCGTTACAGAATCCGTGCAGTAACCCTTGTTTGCACCCGAAAGTTCTCAATCAAGGATCAGCCAGGGTCTCTTCGGGAGAGACGTTCAGGATACCCTGGAGCTCAGGGTGAAAATTCGTTGATTTAGGGTTTAGGGTGTTATTTCAGTTCATGTCTTAATTCTTCAATTCTTTGATCGATGATGAAATCATTTCCATTTCAATCCAACTTGAGGTTTTTCTTCACAAGTAGACTCGGCCAGTATCCCGATGACTGAGGCTTCTGTGATGCTTAAACGCTCGCTTTGCACTTAAGCTTCGGCATCCTCCGGAGCAGCAAAGGTAGGGTCATGTGGAGGCACGTGGTTTCATGCTGGCTGTGCGGATGCGTCTATGTCTATACTGGCGCACACCCGCACATACTCACCCACGCATGCACGTACGTGCAGACCACTTCTGCAGGTGAGGCCGAAGCCTGCCGTCCTCTCAAACGAGAAGACCGGCGAGCATCCTGGCCGCAGTGGGGTTTATGGTATAGGGCTTTAGGGTTGAATTAGGCTTAAGATCTTGGAGCGTATAGGTCTGAGGTTGCGAGTGCTACGGCATTTGAGTTTCGACTTATAGGAGCACGAGCAGGGGGTGGAAGCAGGCGTCTTGTTCCACCGTGCTTGTTATATTGTGAGGACTGTTTTACATCGTCGAAGATCGCCCCCTGATGATAAATGCCGGTGATGCTGATGAAGACGACAGTGCGCCGACGAGACGGCGACGGCCACAGCCACGATTGCAATGAGTGTGCCATTGTTGTTGTGTTGGCGGTCGTGACGGCAGTGGAGATGTTGACTAGCTTCTGGTGCTGACCGTTACCCTGCTTTCATGATCGTGGTCGAGGTCGCCGGTGTCCGTTTTCAGATGACGAGCTGGCGATGACAGTATGCGTCATCGTTGCCAGTACCCTTGGTTGCTTGTGGTGAAGATCGGCTTTTCGGGTAGTATGTCGTAGTCGTAACGAGTGTGGCACAGTCAGCTTGGTCGTCGTGGTCGCTGGTGTTGTGGTTGCAATGATGTCTTTCGGGTCTTATCCAGCATGCATACGGTTGCAGTTGATGATAGACCGTGATGGCTGATAATCGTACCGATGACCAGGACGATGATGCTGTTGATGTTGGTGATGACGGTGACGATGGTGATGACGGCGGCGGCGGCGGCGGTGGTGGTAGAACCATTGTCGCACCCGGAACCTTGACCAAGAAGCTGGGAACCACATGACGGCGCCTCCCCACGCCAACCTCAAACGCCCCCCATATGAGCCCTCGAAGCTGCGACAATCCTAGCGCACCTCCCGCCGCCAGCATTTGCCTCCCTCGCTCCGTTCCGGGGACCCGCGACGGCTGGATGCGGACCCATGAGATGCATTTGAGCTGGCTGGTTTTAGATTTTACGGGCCTACAGGGCTTCGGTTTGGGTTTCGTTGTGTTGAAGGCCCCGTTCTTTAGAGTGAAGGGCTTGGTTTCGTGTTTCTAGCAGTAGCCCATATCTACAACGAGCCTGTTTCCAGGGGTCTGAGGCTTGAGGTTCCTCCGAAGTTCGGGTGTTGCAGAAAGCCCGTTGATAAACTTCCTTGGAGGGCAGAGCGAAACGAAGCACCACCCTGAGCACTACAGTCACAAGCATGTATTCTGGAGCTCTTGTTTGCGCGATGTGTTTGGTGAACAGTCCTTCGAGTTGAAGACTTCTCTCTTTTGAGCTACCCACCTCTGACCCCTTGGATCAAATCGAATGCGGTAGGTAGGACCAGGTAGGAGTACTGTACATCACGACGAGAAGCCCTCATAACTTCTACAGGGGTTTAGGGGTTTTAGGGTTCAGTCTAATTTCCCCGGCAAGACTTCAAGAGGCATGGATGCAAAAGGGTTAAGAACTGAAGCCTGCTTGCGCACCAGGAATCACATCACGGGCAGGCAGGAGCTCTGGACAGACCACTGGCAAGCTCCCAAATGCATCCAGCAGCTTCCTTGCCGAACTTCAAGGTTCTTCTTGCTTACCCAAAGGCCCCAAAGTAGTTACTTTTTGGGGTTCATATATAGAATCCTATAGGTTAATCACCAAAAGGAACTACTTTGGGGCCTCTGGGTAGCCTGTAGAACTCTCTAAACGCTGTTGGATTTGGGCTCCGATGCAGATCGGTGGCTGAGTAGCCTTAAAACAGCCAGGTCTGATTAATCTCTCTTGCACTGGGGAGTTCACTAGGTGTCTCTCCAGACGCGGTTGACAAGGCCTCTCCGCAACACACAAGCCCTGCAGCGATATAATGGCCGTCATACTTGGAATATGTTTTCGTTGCATATCATTATGCAATGCTGGAAGGGAGTGCGCTGACTACGAATAACTAATCCGAACCCGAGGTTCAACCAGCTCTCTTGAACTGTGCCACCCGAAATTAAGACTCAGCTACGTGCTACCTGTAGTGAGGAACCTGTGTCATTCACTTGAAGGGAGGTTGGTAAACCTTGAAAAGCTAATGTAAAATGCAGACAAATACACTACATATTTTATTTACTCAAGCAAATTCCAACCCTGCAAAATCCAGGTTTTACCAGCCCGGAACCGTGCAGCTGCGCTGTCCTGGGGAGCCTCCTCGCTGGATGCCCCTTCGCCAGGGTTTTGGCGGGTAGACCCTCAAGGAGGGTTGAAGGTTTAGGGTTAGGGTTTAGGGTTTTCGAGTCCATGTATTCAGGCGATTGCACAAGTCCTCATGCAAGAAAGCAAACCCTTTATTGCTTAAACGGAGCTACACACCTTCTACCCCGATATCCTGTCTTCCAGGCTTCTTGTGGGTGCTCTCGCTGGGGGCTTCTGGTCGCCGACGAGAATTCCGATTACTATGCTAACCCTACGGCTCTAAGGACTCATCTTATGAGGATTTTGGGCCCAAAGACCATCCTATAAAAGGCTTTTGGGCTGTTCCGGACAGCTTTGCATGTGCCTGAGCCCCTGAAGCTTGGCTTTTCTTATACATACAGCACGAAGTCCTCCATCTAACCCATCGGAACCGTCTTTGATTAGATTGAACCGTCAGCCATGGAAGCCATAAACCCAACAGGAAACAAAGTTCACTACAACGCTGAGTCCGAGTGTGAGAGCAGAAGAGCGCAAACCCCACGTCCTGAT